AGTTGGCCAGTCAGTGAGTCATTCAATTAATTAATCAATCAGTCAGTATCGAAATAGATTGATCAACCAATCAGACAGAAGACAGACAGTGAGTCAGTCAGTCAACCAGTCAACCAGTCAGTCAGTCAGTCAGTCAGTCAGTCAGACAGTGAGTGAGTCAGTCAGACAGTCAGTCAGTCAGTCAGTAGTCAGTCAGTCAATTAATTAATTAATCAATCAGTCAATATTAAAATAGATTAATGAACCAGTCAGACAGTCAGTCAGTCAGTCAGTCAATTAATTAATCAATCAGTCAGTATTAAAATAGATTGATCAACCACTCAGACAGACAGACAGACAGTCAGTCAGTCAGTCAGTCAACTCATCAGACAATCAATTTCAAACAACCAATTCATTGTTCCATTGGTCAGGTGGTATAATTGAAGCTTTTCATTCTTGTCTATTTTTACTAGCCCAAAAAAGGATCCCGAGGATTTGTACAAAGACTGAAAGGAAAGCAGGGTCGCTTTAGAGGGAACCTGTCTGGTAAAAGAGTTGACTATTCTGGACGCACGGTCATTTCTCCTGACCCTAACCTCCATATTGATCAGGTCAGTATATAGTGTAAACCAAGAAAGTGGCTGTCTTTGTTTGAGAGCTCAGTTCTTCCCCTGGTGGAGAGATTTACCTCTGCAAAGCAGAAAGTCTGTATAGTGAATCTTAATGGTTGCTTGTGAGGTTTTAATTGTCCTAGTCAAGTACAGATAACCTGCAATCTTGGAGACGACTTGGGTCTCTGTAGAGCGAAGCCATTGTTAAGATCCCATACATGTCTTTAGCAGTAGAGCAAAGGCATTGTTAAGATCCCATAAACATCTTTAGCAGGAGAATGACTTTGATACGTGCATGAGCATAGTCTCCTTCGGAGCTGTTATTAGGTTCGTCATGCAATGCTTCTCTTGGGAGAAGAGTTGCGTGACTACTGTAGCTTTCAGTTAGCATAATGATTTGCCAACTCTACATTGTAAGTCACTGGTAAGTTGAAAAAAAGTGCTTAGAAGTTCATTAACTATATTTTATCACATGGGAATAGGTTACCAATCTAGAAAGTTGTGCTAAACATACACACATATATATTATACAATATTAATCAACTCATGTTAATATTTTTAGGTGGCAGTTCCTGTGCATGTAGCTAAGGTTCTAACCTATCCTGAAAGGGTTAGTATAATAGATAACCTTTTTTCAATTAATTATGATGCTAATAATTATTATTGCAGTCCTTACCAATTGGCAAATTGACCATTTGCAAGGATAATATTGTCTGCCTGTTCTGACCACCTTGGGGAAATCAAGGGTTTATCAAGGATTGATCAAGGGTATTGATAAACAATGTTGATTGATACTGACTGCAGATGCCCAGTACACATGATCCAGCTATGTTGTAAATTGTGTTGATGCAGGTCACAGAAGCTAACATGAAGTTAATGAAACAGTTGATACTGAATGGAGCTGACAAACATCCAGGAGCTAACTTTATTCAACAGAGACAAACCAGCATCAGAAAGTAAGCTGACGTTAATCTCATATACGATGAAAGCTCTCTTAAGCAGACACCTTTGGGACCCAAAAAGGTGGCTGTAACTGGAGCTAGCTGCTTACGAGAATGGTTCTCGTAAGCACCTGTGGCAACACTGTTGCATTGACAGTGTTGTAATTCCAGTCACTAGTTTCAGGATGTCACTGGATGTGTAACAGTGACAAAACAAGCAATGAAATATGGCAGTGTAATTCATGCACTGTACATACTGTGAAGAACAGAGATGTGAAGTTGATTGAGTAAAATAGGATTCCGAGGCTAATGGGGTTTCCTTTTGGGTGTCCGCTTCTGGGAACTTAAAAACAAATGAAAAGTCTAAATCCTAAGCCCTCAAAGTGTCCACGGCCACTCACGGGAATGTCTGCTTACGTGAATGAATAGAGTTTGTATGGGTATTCAAACAGGATTTTGTGAAGGCAGTTGAACCTATACATTGTAGTAGCTGTCTACTTACGAGAGAGTCTGTTAAGAGAGCATCCACTGAAATTATTATTTGGTGACATTGGGCCATCTCTTTTGTCCTACTTGCCATCTGTAATGTTTTCTGATACATCTTAGGGTCAGTCTGCCAGAGTGTATATTTTTTGCAGGATGCAGTTACTCTCATTGGTTTCTTATTGTGATATTCAACTTGCGTTCTAGGGGTGGCAAATGGTAAATACAAGACTTTGTGAGAAGGCAAGACTAGCGTTTCTTCTTTGTGAGCCCGGGACATTTTAATAACTTTTTGAATTGTGAGACTGAGGCTTCAAAGGGTTTTAAATGCAAGCACAAGACATTTGGACTATAAGATGTTCAGATGTCATTTATAAAAACAAACAAACTTCGAGAATTTCTCAGCTTTGCAAAAAAAATAAAAAAGACTCCAAGAGAGCTTTCAAAAATTCAAGGCTGTGAAACACTCATAATTGTTAAAATACATGACTGTGAGACCTGAGAAATTAAAAATTGTTGAAAATTTTATGAGACCTGGGCTAGGTTTTTTGAAGGACCATTTGCCACCCCTCATTCTGTTTCATGCAAATCTGTAGGATTTAGCTTGTATGTATGCCTGTTATGGGCCTGAATACCCTGTGTTGACAACTGTTAACGTTGAGTGCAAGACCAAGATTAATGAATCTTGTGATCAGAGCTCTTGTTGCAAAAGAAGTACTTTTACATGTCTTGAGTGAAACATTCATTTTGTATGCTTTTATTCACACATAGGTTCCTAAAGTATGGTAATAGAAAACAGATCAGCAAAGAATTGAAGGTAGGTATTAAGTGAGAAATGATAATCTAATCTAATCTAAATTTTCCAAGTGATAAGTGATAATCTTTTTGTTGTGATGATGTGGTACATGTCCATAGATAAGTTGAGCATATTTTTCCGTGGCCAAATACACTCAGATTATAGATCATAAAAATGTTTTTATAAAATGTTGGAAACCCTTCTGGTGAAACCATAAAATTCACTCGTAGTTCCACTCGTGTTTTNTTCACACATAGGTTCCTAAAGTATGGTAATAGAAAACAGATCAGCAAAGAATTGAAGGTAGGTATTAAGTGAGAAATGATAATCTAATCTAATCTAAATTTTCCAAGTGATAAGTGATAAGTGATAATCTCTTTGTTGTGATGATGTGGTACATGTCTGTAGATAAGTTGAGCATATTTTTCCATGGCCAAATACACTCCGATTATAGATCATAGAAATGTTTTTATAAAATGCTGGAAACCTTTCTTTTGAAACCATAAAGTTCACTCGTGGTTCCACTCGAGTTTTGAACGTGAAAAAAATATGCATGATTTCTATGGTATATTCAGATTTAGACAATGGAAAATGTGGTGATTTGCTGACTGAGTGTGTTTTGTTTTGTGATTTTCATGGCT